ATGTCATGTTTTAGAAAGCATTCCAAATGAGCTGAAACCAAAATATTTATGCATGTTTATGAAAAATCTACATTTTGTTTTTAAACATATTACTCTGTGCATTTGTTTTATATGATAAACCTGAAAAGTTTGAGGGGGTCATTACCTTTGAGCGGCACTGTATAATAGAAAACAAGTATTTCTTACGTGTTCTGCACAGAAAACAAGTATTTCTGCTCATGGAACGATGAGCTTTAAGCGATGGAACGATGAGCTTTAAGCGATGGAACGATGAGCTTTAAGCTCATCGTTCGTGCTCAATCTTAAAGTCAGTCAAAAAGCAAATAGAATCTTGTAAATGCAAATAGAATTTCAGAAATATAAATGAGACATAAAAAACAAATGTAACGTAATTTGTTATACTAAAAACAATTTTTGTAACTTTCTATTTTTGTCGTTCTAGAGACGCAAGAGGTTTGCGATGGAGAGGTCATTTTCGTGACTTTTGGATATCTTGACTACACTTTTGCCGAGTTTTCGACTGACTATTCTCTCGTCAGAAACATTTTTTGTCGTAAGAAATTTTATTTTATTTAAACATTGCACAATCTAGATCAATACATGAATGTAACCATTGAGATCATCGAAGTTCTCGTTGTCGATCTTCAGTTGAGTTTCTTGGATGAAAATTTGCAACCGAAATCGGAGAATCCGTGAGTCACTTTGTAGGAGTTGATTTCGTTTTTTAAAAGGTTTTCTATCCCGTAAGGACAAAGTTCAAAGTGAATTTTAAATCTTGCTATAACTATAGCTAAATTCTAGAAGACTTCCATTTCAGAATAACGATCAAAGCAGGCACAAAGTCCATGAATTTTTCTTATTCGAAAGTCATCGGCATACAGGTGCATTCTTTTTATTTCCTAACATATTTGCGACAGAGCTTCTTTATCGTTGTTCTTTCATCTTACTTTAAAAGTTCTCAGACGTTCGATTTACTTAAGTTTGATGAAGGATGCTTACTTTTTATTTCATTGACAGATTTGCGACAGAGGTTCCTCACAGAATCTCGGTCGCGAATGAGTTGGCTGATCCTTTGTTTAGTATAAATCCCGATTTCAGCTCTCAATTCAATGTGGAAATCCCTTCATCACAAATGCAGGGGCAGCGGCGCGAGTGTATGTCAACCAACTATCAAAAACGAGAACGATCAGTGGAAAAATGGTGAGAGGATCTTTACAAAAAGAGATAAAAATTGCGTGTAGATATCAAAAAGGAAAAACACTTCAACATCAACTTCCTTAACACTCCGGGACGAAAGTTTTCGAAAGAGTATTGAAGATATTTTCGAATCCAAAGAGCTCGCAATTTTTGTTTTAGTTCAAAGTGCGTCATTTTCCAAAGACAGCAAAAGTGTGTGTTGTGCCGTGGACGGGTGTCCAACCCTGCTGCCCCTCCCAGAAGAGAGAAAAATTTGGTAATTTGGTATTTGGACTTTTTGCATCGACGAATTTTCAGGTACTATATTCTCGCTGGCGCCTTGGGACTCGTGGCCATTTCTCTTCTCATCACTTTCATTTCGGTGTATTTCTGTTGTCCGAGATATTGGCCGATCAGATATTTGTTTGTTTTGTTCAAATGCCAATGTTGAAATGCTTTTATAGAATCGACACTCGAGACAGGCGACATTTACAAAACCAATTCAGAAACAACTACAGGTTTCAGATGAAAAAGTAAGCAAATGCGCAAGTTATATTTTTTTAGATTCTGAAAAGAAATTTGTATACTTTAGTGACGGCTGGGAGGTGGATATCTTCTCGATTGAGATCTCCGAGAAGAAACTCGGCTCGGGAGCTTTCGCTGTGGTGCATAAAGGGACACTGAAGGAGTTGCCTGGTTCGGCCATTAGTCGGCTCCGATTTAAGGTGAAGAGGAAAAACAGATTCATTGTGAGTAGTAATTTATTATTTCGTTTAGTCAACACTTCCCACGAGAAACGGACGCCTTCTAGTGGCCATCAAGATGTGTCATGAGAAAGCGAATAATGAAGCCAAGTAATGAGTTCGGAAGTTATCGCTGATCTTGTCTTTCAGGGAGGAGATGCTGAAAGAGATTGATTTTATGATGTCATTGACAGTGAGTGATTCCATCTTTTCATTCACCCATTTAATTCAAAGGATCAGCCCCATTTATTGATCTTTTTGGGCTGTTCGAGGAATCCCGAAAATCCGGTATTGATCACGGAACTGTGTGAGAAGGGAGATCTGTTGACGCTTCTCCGAAAATCCAAAGAACAATTTTTCGAGGTATTTTTGGGAAAGAAGAGTTAGACAAAAAAGCCACTTCAGAATCGTCTTCGTGATGTCGATCTGACGCCAATTGCGTGGCAAATCAGTGATGCCCTGGTGGGTGTTTTGGCTATTCAACAACAATGCTTTTCTAGCTCTTCCTCGCCTCGAAGCGGATAATTCATCGGGATGTTGCGGCGAGAAATGTTCTGTTGACAGCGGAGAATGTGGCTAAACTTGCGGGTACAATAATGAAAAAGGAAGTATTAAGTGTCGAATTCTCTTTTCAGATTTTGGTCTATGTCGTAAAAGTGAGCAATTGTTGTACACATCGAAGGGTGGACTGTTACCGATTAAATGGATGGCTCCCGAATCGATTAACTCTTTCGAATTCTCTGAGAAATCCGATGTGTAAGTGGGGTAAAAGAAGACCTACAAAGAAGACTACAGTACTGAGTTTAAGAGGATGAGAAGTCGACTCTAGTTCGGAGTCGAACTCTAGTTCAAACACGGAAATGTTTGATTGTCTAAAGCTGACTCTAGTTCGCTATTACAAGTTCGTTATTATATCCCTTTGCAGCTGGTCATTCGGTGTTTTCCTCTTCGAATTGTACACTTTCGGGAGTTCCCCGTTTGTTTCGGTGTCAAACAAGGAAATGTTGGATTGTCTAAAAGACGGGAATCGTCTGGGATTCCCTGAGGAAACTGACGAAGTGATGTGAGTGGAGATGGGAAGTAGGGGAAGAACCTCTTGTAGGTTGCCTACAAGAACTCAACCCATCAAATCATTTCCAGAAAACAACTGGCATCATCTTGTTGGTCATTCGAGTCGAATGATCGGCCAAATTTCGAGGAAATCTCTTCAAATTTGTACAAAACCCTCGAAGAAGAGCAGAAAAACAAGGGATATTACACGGAGTTCTTGAAGAATCACTACGCAAAACATAAACGATCATCGACAAAATCAACAGTTGATCAATTTTGAAACGTGTTGTGACTTTTGTGACTTTTGTTTTTTAGTTTTTTCATTGTTTGGATGTTTGTGAGGGTCTTGCTTTGCTTTTCGCTTGCTTTGCGGTCTTGCTTTGCTTTGCTTTTCTTATAAACACTCTATAAACTTAGAATTAGTCCCAATACTACAAACAAACGATCCAAAAAATCTTCTTTTCATTACATTTACAGTGCATTGCTAGTCCATAGCTGCAGGGTGTAGTGTTTGGTGGGACTTCTAATATTTTATTTTCTTTGTTTTTTACTTTTTTCATTATTTGGCTGTTTGTGAGGGTCTTGCTTTCCTTTTCGAATAAACTCCCTATAGTTCAACTATTGGTACGTAAAATTTGTTGTTTGCACTTGGCAAAAGAGTATCTTTTTGGTCATTGGGATTTGAACGGAGCGATTACAGGATTATTCCTCTGATAAACTTTAACAAATAACTAATAACTAACCAAATGTTGGCACACTTTATCGGAAGAATTTCCGAACAGTGGGACTCTTTTTTTCTAATATTTTATTTTCTAGGCAAGGCCAATTCGGCAAGGTGGCCAAATGGCAAGCGCCGATGGCCAAAAAATAATGAATTAGAATGGAAAGCGAACAATCTCAGACTCCATTTCCCCTTCATCCTCTCTTTTTTGGTTTTTTTCTTTCTTTGACTAACTTTGATGTTCTTTGTGCTGTGATCTGGTCCACCATAAATAGCCGAGCAGGGAACGATGATCTCCAAATGCCAGCCAATGGCCAGCTATCTAATGTTTTTCTCAGAAGTTCCGAACAGTTGTTTGCACTTGGCAAAAGAATAATTTTTTGGGATTTGAACGGAACGATTACAGGATTATTCTCTGATAAACTTTAAGAAATAACTAAAAACAAACCAAATGTTGGCAGTACTCTGTGTAGTCAATGAGAATATCGGATTTTTCGTTTCCTTCAACGAGAAGAGTGCTGCTCTGAATGAATTTTTACAAAAAAATGTGAATGCAAAAGCAAAAGCTGAAAGCTGTGCTGAAATGCAAAAGCTTAAATTTGTGACAAATTTTTAGAGTGTCGAGTCGTTTTCCATGTATGACAAATGAAGGAGCACTTGGGCTCAATTTGAGGATCGGATTCTCAACAGTAGAGACGATTGAGAGAAAATTGAAGAAAAAGAGTAATCCGTTGATTTTTTTGCCCATATAGGGACTCCGTTTGACTCCGTGTTTTTATCGCAATACGATGCACACACTGAGCAATATGTGTGGAAAGTTGAAGGCTTTGATGTCAGAGAACTAACTGTGCAAGTTGCGGAAAACACCCAGCTGTTTGTGGGTCCTCCGAAGATTTTGTGTGCACATTTAGCTTGTGTTGTAGCTGTAGCACATTTAGCTGTAGCAGATTTAGCTGTAGAACTCTAACGTGCTTCGGCTGCTAGGTGCTTGAGCCGGAACTTGATCTTGTTGAGATTGTTCAACCCTCGATCTGGTATCAGAACGGGAATGACTTTATGGCCTAATCATTTCATTAACAAATAAATCTTTCGATCAACTTCAACTACACTGGGCATTACAAAAAAGAAAAGTGCGTAAAATTCCGTTTTTTTCGTCGATATTTGACGCGAGCAAAGTTTTGTGATAAGAAAAGTCCTTTTTTGAAGGGCGATACGCCAACATTAGTTTCGTTTAGCCAACCTTTTTGAACCTTCAGTAGTATTTGGAAATGAAATGAAACGTTGAAGTTGAGTGATCTATTTTGAGAGCCATGCTGCTTCATTGGATTCTGTTTTTCAATTTTCTATCTATCGTGACTTTGGTCAAAAATGCGATGATCCAATTGGTTCCCGATGCTCCCTCTTTTGCCATACATGGGAAACGGATTAGTAATTTGGAAGTTTGTGATTTAGGCTTTGAAACTCATTGCTTTTGCCAACGTCCTCAGTTTGTACACAGTGTACACACAACGTACACACAACAGTACACACAGCGTACACACAGCGTACACACAACAGTACACACAACGTACACACAGCGTACACACAACAGTACACAACGTTCTCAGCTTTTGTTGAAATGAGACTTCGTTCAGAGCATCACCCTTCAAGTGAACGAAAAATCGGATATTCTCATTGACTACACGCAGCATGGCTGCTCTAATCTGGTGCTCTCTTTGATATTGACAGAGTAACGAAGCGCGGTATTTGTTTTTAGGAGAAAGGCTACTGCTCTGATGCGCCCCAACTCACTATCAATGGAGTGGGCTGGGAGAAATGCGGTGATGTCGAAGAAATGTATCGAAGCTATACTTCAAAACAGTTTCCTTCCTAAATCTAGACCCTTCTCCGACAAGAATGACCAACTTGGAGGCTATTTCTATCGTTCCTCCTCACAAATGATCGATCAGACAGAGCTAGTGATTGCGATGACCGATGCGCTTCCAAAAAACGACGACTTTGCCATTTCATTCCGAGTCCGTCAATGGGTTAACGGTCTGATTTAGAAAGGAAACTGTTTTATTTTTGATCAGATTACTGAGATTACTGAGATTTCTGTGATTTCTATGATTTCTTATCATTTTCTTATGTTTCTGATCAGGTTTCTTGGATTTCTGAACAGATTTCTGAGATTTCTGAGACTTCTGATTAGATTTCTGATCAGATTTCTCAGATTTCTGATCAGATTTTTCAGATTTCCCAGCTTAACGTTCAAAATCACATCAATATCTCAAACAATCATTTACAGTATCAAAGAAAATTTTCGTTTTTCCTGGAATACCTTCGGATAATCAATTTAATGGTGATGGCTATTTTAAAGTTTTTGTGAATGAAGGTGTCATCGCCACCGTTCTTCCAAATCCCGATAACTACAACTACGGGTTTGCGGTCAAATTGTAGGAATATATGAGATTATTTTATAGTGCTTGGGATGGTGGTCCAGTGACGGTTCAATCGGCAGTGAATTCAGTGACGAAATGCCCATATTTTTGGGTGAATTTCTTTATAAAGCATTCATCTGAATATTTCCAGCAAAATATCACTTGCCCAGCCGAAACCACTTACTCGATTTTTAGTGGATCCGATCCCGGGAATAAAATGGATTCAACCAATTTGTTGTTGAAAGCTGAGTATGTTGCTGCTAAAGTTTAGTTTCTTTATAGTTCTTATTTAGTTCTTTTATAGTTCCTATATAGTTCCTTTCTAGCTCTTATTCAGTTCCTTTATAGTTCCTATTGAGTTCCTTTATAGTGGTTGTTGTTGTTGTTGTTGTTGTTGTTGTTGTTGTTGTTCAACAGTTGTTCAAGAACAAACCAATTTGTTGTTGAAAGCTGAGTATGTTGCTGCTATAGTTTCGTTTAAAAAAGATAAACAAAAAAAGAGATTGAAGCCAAAAATTGCTGATTGTTTGCGTTCTAAAAACTTACTGAACTTCATCGATGTTTTAGCGGAGACATTTTGGTGACAACAAGAACGACGGCTTCAACGATATTCACAAATGATGCTTGCTCTTTTTGTTTACTCTATGATTCTCGATCACCTGGTTGGCTCAAAGAACGATTTATAAAATATATATTATTGCGAAAGATAGGATTGATTTGATGTATAATATTTCTTATATTTAACAGAGCAAAAATGCTCAACAATTGCTAATTTAACGCCAATTTCCATGAGGCTACCTAAGGATGGTCTCCTGTACCCCATCTTCTATAAGTTTATGGTAAAACCTCTGGAATGAAGAGCTATTTGGGGCCCAGTTAGCTGACTTCATAATGGGGTTTAAGGAGACTCCCGCAGCAGCTTTACTCCCGTCTCGCGGCAGCTTTACTCCCGTCTCGCAGCAGCTTTACTTTGTGACCAAGTGTGTCGAGTGGGCCGAATGCCTTATCTTTCTTACAATTGCTTAAGAATAAGAATTCTTTTAGCAGCCAACGGTCTCCTTTGATGTTTCTAGAAGCGTGGTTGTCATCCCCATCGTGGATTGCACCTTCCCGATCATCAAATCTTTTTTTAGGGTTCGATCCAACACCGGCGCGAGGGCAACTGGGTTATCGAGAAGTCCCTTCAAGTCGTTCATGCGCCATCTATTTCCCTTTGCGAGCTACTCGTAAAGCTTTGTCGCGCTTTCATGCAGCAGGCAACTTGGACATTCCGGTTGGATTTCTACTTTGGCCGCCATCGGAATGTTTTGCACATCATTGTAGACCTTCGGGATCCTGTAATTGATGATGCCCTCCTTGTCTCTTTAGCTTCTCGAGCTTGATCGGCTCCTCGAGTGTCGTGATGACGAACGGCGTGACGAGCGAGTTCGTGTCAGTGATCGCGCTCTTCGAGATCCCTTGGATTCTTCGTCGTCTTCTCGGCGACGACTCTCTCGAGCGGGCACAGCAGGCGGTGGCAGAACATACCTGGAAATAAAAAAGATTCATTTCTTTCAAACAAGGTCCCGAGGAGAGTGCGAGAGACGCAAACAAAAGAAAACTTTTAATGGGTCTTTGGTCTTTGGGTGACACCCGGGAACAGCCTGGGAAACATGGGGAAACATGAGCAACTGACCCAACCCTGAGCGTGGTGCACACAGCAAACTTGTTGGGGAAAGCCTGGGCGTAGTGCACACAGCAAACTTGTTGGGGAAAGCACACTTGTCCATTTCGCACGCGAAGAAAGACGAGCTCTTAAGAAAAAAATCAGAGAAGTGGCACTTTCGCCGCCTTTTATACAAGCACGCGACGCGCTAGGGTACGGTAACGAAGTCACGGTTTAACTTTCGTCACCCCATGAGTTGAAAAGAGGTTGACGCTTTTTCAGAAAAATAAGCAATTGTTGAGTATCTTTGCTAGTGTAATATAATGTCAACTATGCGCAAAGGTCAAATATTTTAACTTTTAACAGTTTAGCTGAATACTTGGATGGCTTTTCCCTTTGGACTCCCTATTTTTATCCGTGGATTCATGATCGTTTTGAGCAGATTGAGATGGAAAAGAATAAACCGGAGCAATGTCTTCGTGGCCACGTTGTGCACACGGTCTGATGCTTTTTTTTTAGTTGAAACAAACAAAGTTATTTTAGGATTTGATTGGCCGTAACTTTACCATGGATGTGAAAAAAGTTGAAAATGGTATCATCGAGATTAAAGAAATCAAATGCAATAACATTGAATGCAATTCTATCAACGTGATCTACTGGAGAAAGTTTCTACTGGAGAAGAAAGACTAACAGAAAACGTTTTTTAGCTTTTCTGGGTCATCAAATAGAAACTTTACGAATTGTTTTTCATCTTTGGAGGTAAATTTGAAATGTTGTTTATAAGGTACAGTACTGGACAATGAAATATGATATTTGAAAAACGATCGTCACTTTCACGCGTCTGTAACTCCCTTGTCTTTGAGTTTAAACTATTATTGTAATACATTTTCTGAAAGCTCTTTTCAGCGGCTACACAATGGTAATATTAATATTTAGAAATACGGTAAAGAAAAGGGAGTTACAGACGCGCGAAAGTGACGATCTTTTTTCAATTATGATATTTCATTGCCCAGTAGTGTATATGACTAATGTCCATTTGGCCACCTCAGCCTTGTGACCTTCCCTTCTTCCGTTTCCAGAAACGTTCTTGAAATGACTATGAAATGTTTGAAGTTGAAAAACAAAAGAACAAAGGTTTTGAGATTTCCTTTCCCTGCAACTAATGCAAAATTGAACGGAGCGTTCAGTCGAGTCGAGTGTCGCAATTTAGCGAAAACAAACCCCTAAAGCAGGAACAAGTCTTACAAAAAGCATTTTTTTCAGGCATTACGGTGGGTAGAGAATAGAGTGTCGTACAGTACTGGACAATGAAATATTATATTTGAAAAACGATCGTCACTTTCACGCGTCTGTAACTCCTTTGTCTTTGAGTTTAAACTATTATTGTAATACATTTTCTGAAAGCTCTTTTCAACGGCTACACAATGGTAATATTAATATTTAGAAATACGGTAAAGAAAAGGGAGTTACAGACGCGCGAAAGTGACGATCTTTTTTCAAATATCATATTTCATTGTCCAGTAGTGTAAATCTGAAATATTGTTTATATGGTAAATCTGAAATACGGTTTATAAGTATTCAGTTAAAATGGTGGCCAGATGTAACAGAAAATGAACCGTTCGGCTATATTCTGCACTTGTGGGAAGAACAGCACGTTGAGGACAAAACATCGACGACACTTCGGACGGACGGAGACACTACAAACGAGAATCCGAGATCTACAACAATTGCAAAAGAAGTGCGACTATTTGAAGCCAGTGATGAGACTACAGGAACCGCTCAAACTGCTTCAGATTTAAGCTACTACTGTACATCGACAACCTCGACAACCTTGACAACGACTTCGCCAACAATAACTGAAATAATGCCAACAGTTGAATCTACAACAGACAAAGAGACAACCAGTTACATAGAGAAACACACAACGGGTAAGCAAAACGGTCATTTTGTCCATTTAGCGTTCATTTAGCGTTCATTTAGAGTGTTCATTTAGCCACCGATCCCGGAAAACAGCTCTTCTCTTGGCTCTTCGTTGGACTCGGCGTCTTTTTTGTTATTTTGTTGCTCAGTGTGTGCATCGTCTTGATTTTGGGAATAAAATCCGGGTTTTTCTTCAAGATCTATAGGCAATAATAAATTCTTTTAGCTTCTTTACCAGACTTCTTGTTCCTCTCGCTTCGGACAACATCGAAAAACTTCGAGCGGATTTGAATAAGGTTTTTGCTTTTTAAAAACATCAACAAAATAAATTCAGGCTTATAAGCGAAAGAACGGTGTTGAAGGAATCAACGGTGTTGAAGGAATCAACGGTGTTGAAGGAATCAACGGTGAATTTGAAAAACCGGTGGGGAACTTGATCTTTGTAAAGAAATACTAGTTGTTTAGGTGGTCAAAGAAGTGACCGATGAGAGGTATTCACACAGTCAACCCAACCCAACAACAACCGGAGTGTTATGATTGAGACTAGAGTGTGTTCCTTGCAGACAAGGCGTCTTCTAAAAAGCGCGCGCCAAGGATAAGCTACTGTAACCCTATGCTTTGCATCAGCAAATTTTTCAACATGCATATGTACATAAAAATCTTGCGCTCTTTTTTTCTATTACTCTTTCCTCAACTCTATTACCCTTTCCTCAACTCTATTACCCTTTCCTCAACTCTATTACCCTTTCCTTAACTCTACTACCCTTTCCTCAACTCTATTACTCTTTCCTTAACTCTACTACCCTTTCCTCAACTCTATTACTCTTTCCTTAACTCTACTACCCTTTCCTCAACTCTATTACTCTTTCCTTAACTCTACTACCCTTTCCTTAACTCTATTACTCTTTCCTTAACTCTACTACCCTTTCCTCAACTCTATTACCCTTTCCTCAACTCTATTACCCTTTCCTTAACTCTACTACCCTTTCCTCAACTCTATTACTCTTTCCTTAACTCTACTACCCTTTCCTTAACTCTATTACTCTTTCCTTAACTCTACTACCCTTTCCTCAACTCTATTACTCTTTCCATAACTCTATTACCCTTTCCTCAACTCTATTACTCTTTCCTTAACTCTACTACCCTTTCCTCAACTCTATTACTCTTTCCATAACTCTATTACCCTTTCCTCAACTCTATTACTCTTTCCTTAACTCTACTACCCTTTCCTCAACTCTATTACCCTTTCCTCAACTCTATTACTCTTTCGCTAAAACTTAAAAATTTTAAAATGCTATTTAAAATTAAAGAAAACATTTAAAACGGGAAAAGTTAAGAAGCACTATTAAAAAATGATATTATTTACGAATTTACCAGGCCTATTGTCTACATTTGCACTAGAGCCATTCCAAAAAAAAATTTCACGCCCTAAAAAACCGAAATCCTTAAATAAAACTATCCATTACTATATTTTAAGAAAAGTTAGCAAATTTTTTATACCTTTATAGCTTTGCTGAAAGCTTAAAAAGCTTTGCTAGCTAGCTAGCTAGCTTTGCATTGCTTTGCTAGCTAGCTAGCTAGCTTTGCACTGCTTTGCTAGCTAGCTTTGCTTTGCTAGCTAGCTTTGCTTTGCTAGCTAGCTTTGCTTTGCTAGCTAGCTTTGCTTTGCTAGCTAGCTTTGCTTTGCTAGCTAGCTTTGCTTTGCTTTGCTTCTGTCAACAAGGAGCACACTCTAATTGAGACTGTTGTAAAATTCATTCTACGTGATGTTTGAGAAACTTTTTATATGTCGTAGCCGATTATTGAATGAGTCGGTCTAGTCTAGGTCCAGGTCTAGGTCTACATCTAGGTCCAGGTCTAGGCCTAGATCTAGGTCTAGGTCTAGGTCTAGCTCCAGGTCTAGGTCTAGATCTAGGTGCAGGTCTAGGTCTAGGTCCAGGTCTAGGTCTAGGTCTAGGTCCAGGTCTAGGTCTAGGTCCAGGTCTAGGTCTAGGTCTAGGTCCAGGTCTAGGTCCAGGTCTAGGTCTAGGTCTAGGTCCAGGTCTAGGTCCAGGTCTAGGTCTAGGTCTAGGTTGAATGATACCAAATCAAGTATTTGGTATCATTCAACGCAGAATCATTAATAATTATGTTAAATTTTTTAAATTAGAAAGATTGGATAAAAAGAAAAAAAATTAGAGCAAAAAAACTATTTGTTCAAGAGAAAACTTTGAAGCCCCATAATTTTTTCCTGCTCCTGCTCCTGCTCAGCACATGGGGTTCTCTGCTTCTTAGAGTTGCTTCTTAGAGTTGCGAAGTGTTTTGTGTGCGATATTTGTACATGACTTTCATTGACTGACTTGTACTTTCATTGACTAATAAATCTTCCAATCACCTACATCTTGTGGATATGAGAGAATTGAGCAACGTGGCTCTTCATTTCTGACCGTCACTCTTCATTTCTTCAATTTTCATTTCAATGTTTGACGTGTGTAAAGTTTTGTGATAAAAATACGAAAAGCAGTTCTATGTGGGCGAAAAAATCAACGGATTACTCTTTTTTGAAACCTTGACGGAATTTGACCTTGACGGAAACGAGAAAACGCTTGAATTGACTAATATTTCGAAGGTTATGCAACTCCCTTGGATCTTTTTCTTCAATTTTCTCTCAATCGTCTTTACTGTTGAGAATCCGATCCTCAAATTGAGCCCAAGTGCTCCTTCATTTGCCATACATGGAAAACGACTCGACAATCTAAAAGTTCGTCACAAATTTGAGCTTTTTTTGTAAAAATTCATTCAGAGCATCACTCTTCTCGTTGAAGGAAACGAAAAATCCGATATTCTCATTGACTACACAGAGTACTGCCAACATTTGGTTTGTTTTTAGTTATTTCTTAAAGTTTATCAGAGAATAATCCTGTAATCGTTCCGTTCAAATCCCAAAAAATTATTCTTTTGCCAAGCGCAAACAACTGTTCGGAACTTCTTCCGATAAAGTTTATTTCTCTTTAAAATCTATCGATCAATGTTCCCTCTGAATCATCCTTTTCCTCCAAAATCTTTCCACGATTTCCCCAGCCATAAGCTAGCGAAAACATAGACCTAAGCGAAAACATAGACCTAATAAAATATTAGAAGTCCCACCAAACACTACACCCTGCAGCTATGGACTAGCAATGCACTGTAAATGTAATGAAAAGAAGCCCAGCCATAAGCTAGCGAAAACATAGACCTAAGCCAAAACACATTTCTAAACATTTCCCCCTCAACTTGTCTGTGCCCTTCTGGGCTTCTGGCCTTCTGTGCTTTAATAAATAATCTGCCTGAACCAAGGAATAGAGACACATTTTATCCCAAACAACAACAAATAGTTGAACAAGTTTTCTTCAGCAAATTGAGCACTGCCAGGATCCGATTCCAGTGGCCGTCAATGGGGAGAGATTGGAGAGATGTGGTGGTGTCGAGGAAATGTTGGTTGAACTTTTAAAAGTAACCATTCTGTCAAATAAAGTCCCTTCTCCGACAAAAATGACAAACTCGGAGGGTATTTCTACCATTCATCGACACAATTGATTGGCCAAACAGAGCTATTAATCAGTCCATTGGATGACATCAAAAAAGACGACTTTGCCATCTCATTTCGAGTCCGTCAATGGGTCAACGGTTGGATTTTATAACTTTGAAAGCAAAGCAAAAACAAAAGCAACCATTAAAGTGTCAAAGAAGATTCTCCTCATTCCCGGATTATTCAATTTTGGCCAATGGGACGGCGATGGATATTTGAAAGTTTTGGTGGAAAAGGGAGTTATTGCCACCGTTGTTCCAAGTCCCGACACCTATAACTACAAGTTTGGTTTCTTTTTTTACACAAAACTCTCAGTACTTGACAGCTCGTGGGATATGGGGCCAGTGACAGTCGAATTGACGGCCAATACTGTCAGCTCAGTCAGCAAATGTCCGTTCTTTTGGGTGAGACTTTCCAGGAAGTTGGATTTTTTTCTTATTTTAGCAAAATGTCACTTGTCCAATTGGTGTCACATATTCTGTCTATGCAGGATCCGATCCTGGAAATGAAATGGATTCAGTCAATATGTTGTTGGAAGCTGAGTTCGTTTAGTATTTCTTCTAATAGTAGTCTGGGATAACATTTTTTTTAATCACTTGGATTGGGTAGGCTACCATTAGAAGAAATAGAGTAACTTTATTAACGATCACCTGCACTGAGCATCCACTACTTTGTTAAAAAAGCTGGGCTGGTACCACATTAAAAATTAGCAGACAGACGGACAGACACGGACAGGCAGACGGACAGACATGGACAAACAGACGGACAGACGGACAGACACGGACAGGCAGATGGACAGACGGACAGACATGGGCAGACAGACGGACAGACAAGGACAGACAGACCGCCCGCAATTATAGATTAACGATGCCAAACATCGATCATTTAATTGCTCTTGGTGAACAGTTCGAAAAGCAGAGAACAGCTGAAGGAAAATGAACTAAGAGAAGGTTGAACTTCAGAGAAGGTCTGCCGGTTACGATCCGGACAACAGCTTCAACAATGTTCACCGCTGAAACTTGCTCTTTTTGTCTACTTTTTGACACATGGTCACCGCGTGAGTTTTCGAGGAAAAGCAAATTGAAACAATTTTGAGAACAAGATTATTACGTATCAAGTACTTTAGCTGAATACTTGGATGACTTTTCCCTTTGGACTCCCTATTTTTACCCGTGGATTCATGATCGTTTTGAGCAGATTGAGATGGAAAAGAATAAACCGGAGCAATGTCTTCGCGGCCATCTTGGGCATACGGTTGAATGGCCGTTTTTTAATTGATATTGTTTAACTTTAGAATAAAGAAGCCCGCAACATCACTTTGGATGTTAAAAGGGTTGAACACAGTGTCATTGAAGTCTTTGTTTTTGATTCGACGGGAAGCGAATGCACGAGTTTTGGCCAAAGTGATCGGACAAAGTTGGGAAACACAGCTTTATATTTGTTTTCATTTCTAGTTTCACCGAGCCAACGAAAGAAGGGATTACGCATTACATGTCATGTTTGGAGGTGAGTTTCGTTCGAAGAAATTCTTAGTGACGGAAAAGTTCAGCTGAAATGAAAATTTGAAGTATTGGAACTGTATTGGAACCGTATTGGAACCGTATTAGATCAAAGAACCGTATTAGATCAAAATAAGAACCGTATCGGAACCGTATTGGTTGTATTATTAGGTTGGCAACTTAATAATGACGCGTTTATGTAACAAATCATTTATTTCAAAAAAACATAAAAGAAAAGCTTTCAATTCGAAAGGTATTTTCCATTAGTATCTATGATTTGTTCCCATTTTCTGCGCAAATCCCGGATCCCATCCTCGAAGAACTTGGGAGTTTTTGAGGCGAAGTAGTCATTGACTGCTTTTATGACCTGAGCATGATCATCGAACTTTTCTCCCTCCATAAAGTGCTTCAGCGACCGAAAGAAAAAGTAATCTGAAGCAGCCAGATCAGGTGAATGAGGCGCGTGGGGCAAAACTTTCCATCCAAGT